TGTTATGGGTCATAATGTAAATAGCTGATATGTGACCCCAAAGGAGTCACAACCCACAGGTTGAGAACCACTGAGAGACAAGAATTCCATCTGTCCTTCCCTCCACCACAACTTAGCTTGAATGCCTCACACCCTGATATGGGATAAACACAGATTCAGAATCCACTGCTGTGATTAAATATTATCAGACTTCTGTGTTAAAGTGGCTGATGATAACACAGTGGCCACGACTTAGAAATAAAAGCAGGAAGATCCACAATTGATAGGCTTTTTTCTGTTTGTAACTTAATATGCTTCAGTAGCTCTTCAAAATGGTAAAATTGTTCAAATGCAGAGCAATCTATGGTAAGAATGCAAGATTAGAGGGATCATCCTACATGTTTAAAAACTGGAAATTTGAGCAATGGAATGCATCCATTAGACTAAGAAATGTTGTCTTCATTTAAAATACTTTACAGTTTTCCATTGCAAACTTCCAATTCTGAGGCCTAGTTACATGTACAGCTATAAACAGTTTCTTTTTCTTTTCCAGGCAGGGTTTCTCTGTCTAGCCCTGGCTGTCCTGAAACTCTCTTTGTATACCACGATGGCCTCTAACTCACAGAGATTTGCTCACCTCTGCCTCCCAAGTGCTGGAACTCCCAACACTATTCAGCTTAGTTTTTTGTTGTTGGTTTTGTTTTGATTTAGTATAGCATTTTTTATAGTTCAAGCTGGCCTTGAACTCATGATCCTCCTACCATAGCCTCTCAGTGCTGAGATTACAAAAGTGTGTCTTCATGCCCAGCTCCATGAACACTTTTATAGTGGAAAAAAAATCTAGATAGTCTAGGACAAAATTTACAGTACCAATCATTTCTTCTTGTGCAATACTGTTCTGCATATTTACTATATGAAGGCTGAAGTGAATTCTACTTTGGAATTCTCATTCTTAATGTGGGTTCTGGGAAGTGAACCCAGGTCTTCTGGAAGGGCAGTCATTGCTCTTAACTGCTGAGCTGTCTTTCCAGACACTGAATTCTGAATTTTTCACAGATAACAGAATTAGAAATTTAAGTCAAAGTATTAGCTATTCTTATTATAACCTTAAAATTCACCCTGAACTGATAATTTATGCTTAAGCATGAAGTTAAATTGGAACAGCAGTGGGGGGAAGGGGCAGGAAAGTGTAAGTCAGTCATGTTTTAAACTACTGTGACAAGAAGTCTCTTCGCAAAACAGGAAGAAGCCAAGGAAACCATACAAAGCAACAGAAGAAAAGCTAAGCCTTGCTTTATGTCAATTTCTGTGGCTTCCAGATCGATTCTATCATTTGTAAAAAGTTAAGACGTATTTCATGTGTTTCCAGATTCCAGTAATAGATACAATTTCTAAATATTCTTCATCTGTTTTTTTTTCTTCAGTCATTGCCTATAGTGGAAAGGATAAATGCAAAAATTTCACACTGAAGATTGTCCACAATTGTTACAAGTGGGTGACCTTTTGTCTGGTTTCACACTATTAGAGATACTAGAATGAAAGTCACATGCACTTTGTCCCCAGAGAGGACACAGGTCACAGGCCAACAATGTTTACTCTATGAACTTGAAGTGAACTTCACTTCTCTTTTCCCCTCCAACAATGCAGCTGTGGTTTAATGTCAACAACACTTGGACTCAGTATCATTTTCTATGGGGAACTCCACCCCTTCCCCACCCACCCGGCACACACAGCTGTGGGAAGCCACACTGGCCATGTTGGCTTCCTCAGGCTTTGCCACATCAGCTTGTTTATTGCTCTTGTATCCTAATCGTCTGTGCATGCCTAATCGTCTGCGCATGAACATTGTGACGCTATCCTAAGATGGCTGCTCACCTATCCCGATTGGGTGATGCACAATCATCCGATGAGACCTAAGCCAATTAGACGACGCTGCATGTCCACATCATCATGAGTATATAAGCTTGGTGCTCCGTAGGGTCGGGGTCCTTCTCCTTCTCTTTTTCAGTCATTCTCTCTTTCAGGTTGGAGCTCCCAATAAAGTGTGCTTGAGAAGAATCCTGTTGTTGTCGTTCTTCCCGCTGGCGGGACAGGCGCAACACACAGCCACACAGGTAAGTTGCCAAAACTTAGTAAAGTTTTATTAGTAAATCCACATGTCTTAGCATTGACACACCTATATCCTGTAGAAGAATTTTTTTTTGTCTTTTATGATATTTAGACTGCCCAAACCACTCCCCAAATGTCCCTGCTTTGTAGCCATGATACAATTTGCTTATGAATGCATTACCATCACCCCATTCCTGTAACATGCTTCCATACAAAGGGCAGTCACTTAGATTGTTTCAAAGTTCAAGCGCCAGTTCCTCTGGTAGATAAGAATGTACCCACAGGACAGAAGTCACAGTGGCTAATAACAGAAAGGAAAAAAAAAAGTCAAGGGGACAAAGCTCTGGAAAAGACAGGCATCTGGGGACAAAGCTCTGGAAAAGACAGGCATCTGGGGACAAAGCTCTGGAAGAGAGAGACAGGCATCTCCTTGAATGCCTGCCTCCCCAGCAGTGCCCGTCAAACAGTCCCTGAACTTTCCAGACTCACTCTACAGACACGGAGTCTTTACTTTCTTTCCATTATGGCCCTGTCTGTTTCTCTGGTTCTAGAAAGGCTTTAAAAATAAGATTTTTAAATTACTAAGAATTTGATAGCTTAATCGATATGTAATGGGAAGGGTACACTTGAGAGGGCTTAATGAAACGATGATTTAGAGGGTGCTGGGATTGGCTAGTGAGATTGGCTAGGGAGAAAGCCATAGAAGTCCAAACTACTTTTCTCTTTCTTTCCCCCCCTCCTTTCCCTCCTTCCTTCCCCAGCCTTCTCTTCCCATCTCTCCCGTCTCTTCCCCTGTCCTCCCTAACACTTCTCTCCTGTTCTTCCTCCTCTCTCTCTCTCCTAACACTTCTCTCCTGTTCTTCCTCCTCCTCTCTCTCTCTCTCTCTCTCTCTCTCTCTCTCTCTCTCTCTCTCTCTCTCTCTCTCTCTCTCCCAAGACAGGGTTTATCTGTGTAGCCCTCACTGTCCCAGAACTCACTCTTTAGACCATGATGGCCTCAAACTCAAAGATCTGCCTGCCTCTGCCTTCCAAGTGTTGGGTTTAAAGGTGTGGTCTACCACCTTCCTGACTTTAAGGTGGGGTTTGTTTTGCATAATAGCCTTTACCAGAAAAGGGCAGAATAGGGTCACCATCATATAGCAGTCCCCAAGAGCAGGAACTCTGAATTAATTCTGCCAACTGCCAAGGAGTACCCAAGTATATTTTTCATGATTTCAGCAACAGTTCCTACTCTTAGGGTCCACTCACACTTCTGCTGCCTTCTCTGTCTCCTCAAGACTGTAGGAATTGGAACCAATTGCTCTTTGCAACTTTGGTGTCTAGCTCAGAGAAAGTTACCTATCTATTAAACGAAGTGCACATGCACACGCACGCACGCACGCACACACACGCAGGCACGCATGCACGCACACACATGCACAGGCACGCATGCACACGCACACTCCAGCAGACTTGGGGAACCTAGACTTCATCCCCATGAAGTAATGAAGTTTGCTCCAGGATGCCAGCATCCCCGGAGACCACATGGGAGCAGTAAGTAGTACTGCTCCCATCCCAGCTAGGGAGGCATCAGCAGTGCTTACCTCTTCTCATCCCAGTACCAGTGGAGGCAGGGTGGGATGCTACAGCTCCCAGCCACAGCCTGCAATAAGGAAGCAGAGCTCCCATTACTCCTGCTGGAATGATATCAGCGAAGATTTACACAGGATGCAGAATCTTGGAATCAGAATGCCTAAAAAATCCAGGTTTTAATTGAAAACCACTCATTAGAAGAAGAAAAATATGTTGAGAAAAAGAAAACTATCTATGGATGCAAACACTGACATCTGAAATGTTGGAATTATTCAATGAAGACTGTACAACAGCCATCAAAAAATGTTTCAGCAAGCAATTGCAAATACACATGAAACAGATGAAAAAGTTGATACTCAATGGAACTGACAAAAATTCTCAGCAAATAGAAAAAAAATAACATTTTAGAAATACAATAGCTTATGTTTAAAACCAATTGGAAGGCTCAATAGCAGAATGGATAAAATAAAAGGCAAAATAAAAACAAACAAAACATTAGACACAATCACAGAAAATACTAAACCTGAACATGCAAAGAACAGATTGAAAAATACACATACAAGAGTTGAAGAGACTGTGAGCTAAAATAAAATGATGCTTTCTAAGTTGTTCAGTAAATTTCGGATACAAGTTTTATTATTTAAACATCTTTGTGGATGACACAAAGGCTGGTCACCCTATGAGAATCTATGAAAACCCTTGGTAGACTAATATACCAAAAGTGGACCCAGGAAACCTACAATTTAACATTCCCTTGCAAAATTCACAGGTTGGAACAAGGGCACAATTATTGCAGAGGAGAAATCAACCTCATTGTGTTTTTTTGTCATGGCTGCAGTGAGGATGCTAAATGATGGGTAACATACTCTTCGGATCCACAAAACCTCCAACCTAAGTGCTGAGCCAGGCAAAAGCCTTCTTCCTCCAGTGGGTCCCTTGTGTGGCGGAAAACACTCTTCTCAATGGAAAATGTCTCTTTGCAAATTCCAATGAGTTCAAGGCCAATTTTAAAAGGCCCAAGAGAACCACTTTCAGGGCTGTTTTCAATATCTGTTTATTTCTACTGAAGATAATGGGAAATTTTTTGTGTGTGTACAAATGTAGAATCAAATTTTTATAATAGATAGACTTGGCTTTAGGAGGAGACAGAAAAGACAGAAATGGAACCCTCAAAATTTTTAGTTAAACCTGAAATTCCAAGATAATTAATCCAGAACCATTTTCTATTTTTTTTTTTTTAATGTGGCATGGATTACCTCAGTTTTTTTACTTAGTTTTATTACAAATAATAAGATTCCAACATCATGTTCACTGCCCTGTCTCCTTGAAGAGAGTCCCAAGAGCACTTGCAGGTCTGAAGTGTCTTTACTCCCAGTGTGTTAATCACATACTTAATCCAGGAAATCTGCATGACACAGGATAGGAACATCCTCTGATGTGCTGAGTGTCACATGGCCCAGAATAGGCATCACAAAGGATTCCCAGTTTTAACTCCACTTGTCAGTTTCCAAACAATGCGAAAGTGTAGAAGAAGGTATAAAATATAAGATTCTCTCAAAAAGATTTATGGTGCTTTTTTTTTTTAATTAAAAAAATCAGTCTTCTTGGCTAAAGATTGGCAAATGTGTTTTCAACCTCAACAGGTCTGAGACTGATTCTTGCCGTTCATGGTAGAAGCTGAGTCCAGTGATGAGTTCGACATCTGTGACCCGAGCTCTGTGCAATATCAGTAACTCTTCAATCCATGTAGACTCCTGTTTCCCATACTGGGAGGTAGGACAATGAAGAAGTGTCACCAGAGATCATGCAGCTCACTTTCCCCAAAGGATCCCCTCCTCCCACTTCACTCACTAAGGGCCTTTGGGGCTGTGAGATGGTAAGCTATAGGATCCATGTTATGCATAATCCACACTTTTGAGTAGCATATTTTCCACTATCTACGACATACATGTCTGTTAAATTAGAAAGAGAGGAAACTGGGAACAGGTGGTTATAAACATTACACAAGTGTAAGAAAAATCATTCCAGGGAGCTTTAAAAATGCTGGAAAGCTGGGCAGTGGTGGTGCATGCCTTTAATTCCAGCACTCGGGAGGCAGAGGCAGGTGGCTCTCTGAGATCCAGGCCAGCCTGGTCTACAGAGAGAGTTCAGTGACAGCCAGAGCAATTACAAAGAGAAACCCTGTCTTGAAACACAAAAACTATACAAAACAAGAGCAAACAGAAAATGGGAACTATGTAGCATGGTAGAAAAGTAATGTGGGAAAAATGGATACAAGTTCTGCTTGTGTTGTCCTATTGGAAAATTACTTGACATGTGAATTTGTACCCCTTTACCCTATTTTTCTAGGGTGGTGTATTTATTTGAGTTTTTAAATTTATTTATTTTTAAATTTTATATGTACAGGTGTTCTGCCTACATGTATATTTGTGCACCACAGCAGACAAGATGGATGATCAGATCTGGAACTAAAGTTACAGATCATTGCTGGCTACCATGTGGGTGCTACAGTTCAATCCAAGGCCACTGGAAAAGGCACCAGTGTTCTTAACTATTGAGCCATCTTTCCTGGCTTCATGTTAGTCTGATTTTAAAGATCAAATATAAATTATGAGCAACTGTGTTACACAAACTCTAATTCCCATAGGAATATGTTATCTTTATGGCTGCTTGGAAATAAGGTTGGAAAACACATAAAATGCGATTTCTATAGAGAGTAAAGGCCTAGAAAATATGAGATCAGAAAAGATCCAAAAGAGGGTTTTCTGGGAAATAAAAATAGAGATCATCATGCTATAAGCATTTCTGAAAATGGCCATGGGAAAATGTCAAAGACATATATCAAAAAAGCTTATGGGCCAGTAAGATGGCTCGGCACTAAGGGCCCTTGCTGCCAAAGTTTAACCCCAAGGACAATGTCAGGGAAGGAAAGAACCAACTCCTGAAAGTTGTTCTCTGAGTCCCATATGGCATTTGAACACACACATGTGCATGCACACATTATAAATAAATGTAGTTGGGTTTTTTTGCTTTATTTTTGTTTTCGTTTTTCATGATGGGATTTTATTTTCTCTGTAGCTTTGGAGCCTGTCCTGGAACTCTCACTTTAGACCAGACTTTCCCCATAGAAAACAGATCAACAACTTCCCATTTCCCATTAATCTTCAACTGCCTAATAGTTGACCCTTACTCTGGCTTTGAGGGGAACAGCTAAATCTGTGAACTCAGCAGGAGGTTTCCATTTCTTCCAATATTCGTAGGAATGGAAAAAACATATGCATCGGGAGTCTGTTTCTTCTGGCTAAAGTTAGTCACTCCTTCAGAGGTGAAACTACTTGTGACATGCCAAAAAAAAAAAAAAAAAAAAAAAACAAAAAACCAACAACAACAACAATAACAAAAACTCTTTCTGGCTCAAATCCAACATTTAGAATCTTGTATGTATGTCACCATTGAAGAACTGGAATTTAAGAAGAGGGATTCAATGTTTAACTCATGTTACTCAATATCATTTTGGTGAATGGATAAATTGGCAGTGGGCTTTTTATTTTGGCAGGTTGGTGCAGAATGGACAACTGATATATTTAATGGCAATTTAATCTCTCAAGGAAAAGGAGTGATGAAGAACATAAACAATTGTTCCCCCCCCAAAAAAAATCACTGAAATGACAAATATGATAGGAAAGATTTTCATAATGACATTATATGTAGAAACTTATTTAAACGCTGTCTGACTAGAACTTTAAGATATTTATAATAGTGGAATTATAAGTCTAGTTTTGAAACCCAAGAAAATTCCTACCACAAATCAACCTAGACTTGAAGTTTCTGACCTGAGTTTTAATGTTTTTAAGGTCAAGGGGGGGGGGGGGTCCTTCTATAAAGATGCGTCATTTTCAAAGACTGATTTAAGGACCATTGAGATGGACTTGTCGCCAAGCTTGACAACCTGAGTTTCATCTCTGAATTCCACGTGGTGGAAGAAGAGGATAGACTTCTCACACATCCATAGGCCTCCACATGCATAATGCACCAAGGCAGGCATGCCCACAGATCACACACACACCATACATGCTATCTAAATAAATCATATAGTAAAAACACAAGGACCACATTTAACACCCATGCAATTCTAAAGCCCATGAACACTCAGGAGTTCTGTTTCTTCCAGAGTAATATAAGGCACAAGCACTTTACACGTCAGTGTGGGAGGGAGACAGGGAAGGCTACTTACAGTACAGCTCTCCATGTGATCAGGCCGATGAGGCAAGATGAAGGCTGAAACATCCAAGTCCATGCACTCTAAGGGAACCTCAGACGATTGTTTGCAACAGGTGAGCACAACGAAGAAGTGAGTGGGAATCAAGAGTTCTTGACTACGGATGACTTTGCTGTTTCTGTGAAGTATACAATATATATTTTCCTTAAGAAATAGCTATCTCCCTTTTAATAAGCACTTCAGTAGGACCTGATCTTAATGAAACACACATCTAAAATTCAAATTCAATTAAATAAGCATGTTGTAAGAAGTGAAATAATTATGATGTCTCAATATCCCAATCATGATGCTAGTAATTAGAGCATTCAAGTAACTTTTTTCTATTGAAATTGTTTTTTTCCATTTCTACCTAAAGAATATCCAGACAGTAAATATATATATACACACATATATATGTATATACAGATATATGCATATATACATACATACACCTATCTTTGAACACTTATAACCAATATTCTAACTCTAGATCAATATTGATGTTCCCTTGTCTGCCACACAGTTGCAGCGAATGAAACAAGGTCTTTTTTTCCAGTCCTTTCAGAGAGAACAAGATCTTTCCATCCCTTTGAATGAATTTCTATTTTTCCCCCAAACTTCAATTGAAAAAAAAAAAAAAGCCACAAAACCTAACTAACTACAGCCTGTGTTTAAGACCACACCCTCTGTTTTATCCCTTTGCTTATGTGTTGAGCATCTTTCAAGGCTTAAGATAGTGCTGTCACTATTTTCCAAACATGATTCTGTGTACAATCATAACATGTAAAATAGAATGAAAACAAGAGTCTGGCTAAAGCTGTGACTGGAAAGCATATAAGGGCTCTTCTACATGCTCTACAACATTGCTTACAGACCAACTACATAAAAACTTTCTGTCTCAATAAACAATTGAACTGGCTGGGTGTGGCAGCACATGCCTTTAATCCTAGCACTATGGACACAGAGACAGGTAGATCTCTGTGATTTCAAGGCTAGCCTGATCTACATGGTGAGTTCCAGGACAGCTAAAACTACATAGTGAAACCCTGTTTCAAAATAAACGAAAAACCCAAAATAGCAGACAGAGTGAAAAACTAGATATTTTATAAGCTGACATACTCCCAGATGTTTTGTTGTGGGACAATAAGAGAGTTCTTTGTGAGGGGCAAAATTTAATAGAGTCTTCAGGATCTGTCTTGTGGCTGTAGGAACAAGTTTTCTTTAGAAAATGCAGTTAAGTTATTGCTTCAATAAAGACCAACCAGGATAAGCATGTAGCTCAGTGACAGATCCTTGCCTCATTTGTGCAAGGTCCTGGGTTCGAACCATCTCCTATATGTCCTTATCTCGTAAGAATCAAAAGCACCAACCAGGTTCTAAAACATTCTCCCTTCTCATTTTACCAAATCATTTCCACTGACAGCTTCTTCAAGATGGTGGTTCCTTCCCTGCCATCCAATGGAGATGGCTCAATGCTGTGCTGTTAACTCAAGGGCATCAGACATGAGACACTACATTTTCATGTCCTTTCTCGTTTGTCTCCTCTGGACCTCTGTTGCTGGACCAGTACTGTTGTCAGGGTTAGCATTTACACCATGCTCATGAGCTGCTCTACTGAATCAGATGGAGGAGACATGACTTCTCACACCGAAAAAAGTATTTTGATTGAAAACCGACTAATATATCAAAATATATCACGGCTCCTGCACGATAAAAGTCTCCTATGAAAAAGTGACTTGGGCTATACAGAAAAGGGTCTGCTGACTAGATGGAAATCCCCCTCTACAACTACTTTTAAGAATGAAGTATGTCCTTACTGTTTCAGGGTCTCTAAGGAATCATAGCGTCCATCATAGTCAAAGTCAAACACAGGGCCACTGACAACATTGATACCGTTCCTTTCTTTGGCATACCTCGGCAGCAGGGTGTCATGGAGGTACTTCCATATAACTGGAAGAGAAGAGAAGGTGTTGGGGTTCCAAAAGAATGACAGACCACACTGCTGTGTGGGAGTGGCCGATGACATAAAGCAAAGCGAGTCCCCCTGACAACTAAGGGCAAGTTCAGGGTTGGCCTCAGTCTTATTGTCAAGCCCACATGACTTTTAGGTTTTGGAGGGGACTAAGGGACAAACACTGGATTCAACTCTATCTCCATATTTGGAAATATGTTCCTTAAGCTGTGGCGATGGTCATGTGTTACCATTAAGCTACAAAGCACCATAAATAATGATTCACTCACTACTGATATCTGAATCTGCCCTCTGAAAATATACATTGCTGTACACAAAAATCTAAATAATGATGTACTTAAAGTGGCATGTTCTGATATTCTATATCTTAAGTTTAAGTAGAAATGTGTATCCATTCTTTCAGGCATCAGGCCGTGAAGTAGTTAAGGATGCTATGAAATCTATTCATCTTAAAAATAAAAATAATTACACAAACTTAAATAAGGAAACCATACTGAAAGTCAATGTGTTAGCTTACTATATTCACTAGGTAAATTTTAGAGGGCATACCTTAAATTTTTTGCTGAAATAATGTTTATAACATTTAAATACAAAGCAAACATATACTAAACTCCTTTCAGAGTTAAACTTTGAAGAGTGTCCTTGACAAGTGCACATTTAATCAAAACAATAAATTCTATTACATATCAACTAAATCTATATATACTGAAACCATCTTTAAAGGGCTTTACCTTGAAAACTCTGATACATCGGTACTATATTAGAAGTAAGCAATGCTTCAGAATATATTCGATTTGAATTTTTATTTAGTCCTGTAAAGAAAAAAAAGATGAAAAAGACTTGTTCATACAGCACAGATAACATTTTTGCAATTTCTTGGGTGAAAAGAGGAGCAATTTTAAAAATTAGCTGAGTGTCACCCGAAGCCTGAGAAACCTGCCCAGATTCTAGGAGAAGGGAAACACAATATATTTGACCACATTCCTTAGAAAACTCAAAATTTAAACTCTTCTTTGTGCTGACCGTTTATCAGAGATGAAAATTAAAGTAAGAAAATTTTGAACCACACACTTTCAAACTTTACCCTTATTTATTTTATTTCAACTTGGAGAATACTGTGTTTACAGCCTTCTTAAACTTTTCTTAACAGTCAGAGGGAGTCAGCTCTGAAGTTCTAGCTTCAGCATGATACCTACCACCCTGAGAAAACAACCCAGAAGTCTGCCACACGAGGCTGCTTTGAGCCAGGATGTGCTGTCCTACAGGCCAATAGCCAAGGTTTGTCTGAACTAGAAGCTGAGGGCTTGGGCATCTGGGGCCTTTCCATGTTTGCCTTCTAAGGCTGGTTTTAAAGTCTCCTCATTACCAGACAAGTCTGCCACTTTAGAAATGGAGCTATTCCTTCGAAAGGGCTACTCTAGAAGCTCTGCAGCAATGGATGAGTACGCTATGAAAGTGCTACCTTCATGCGCTTCCCTCACCAGTCACCTTCATCCTAACATGTACCCCCTCCTAAACCCCAGACGCAGTCTTTCACGCCCCCTGAGTCTTCTACCTGAAATATTTGCACCGCCTCAATTATTCCCCCAAGGTTCAATGAATCAATCATACATTCAAGCCTTAAACCAATGTAATGATTTCCCAAATATGCTATTAATGTATGATTTTCACTACTATATAAAAAGGTTCTACTGCACAGTGCCCCAGGACATGTGGAAGGTATTTCTCACTAATTTATTTTATTACTTCCATTGGTGTTATCACTAATTTGATGCTGACACTCTGACCCAGGGACTCCCACAGTGAGTCACAGCCTCAGACCCATGAGATATATATATATGTTTGCAAAGAAAGAAGCTAAGTGAAGGGATAGCCAGAGGAACAGATGTGGGGAGGTACTTACTCGGTGGAGCGAGGAACCCATAACTTAGCTTAGAATTACTTTTATAAAACGAACATTTATGGATGGGCCTAAGAGGGATGCGAAGGTCCTGGTATAAACAGTTGGAAAATTCATCTGTGGAGAGATTGTCCTGAAGAACAAACAGTGAAAGGTCAGCAGGGACCAGACATGGGCAGAAAAGCAAAATGATGAACTAAAGGCAAACTGCATTGCCCGGGCCTGGATGGGGTCACAACCTTCTCCAGTTTCCCATTTGTCTATGAATGTTCTCTCACAAAAACATAAACACACTCTACAACAGTAAGGCTATCAATCCCCTAACTGCAAATATCATCTGCTGTGATGGTTTTATGTCTTATTTATACAGTGTTACATACTGTATGAGATAAAATGTTGATTTCTAGACGTTCTATGCCGTCTTCCATATCCAAAAACACAGCTTAAAGTTGCTGAGAGAGGGAGAAGAAGCCACTGAGAACCAAGGTGACCCCCCCCCCCGAAAGTCATGGTGAATGTGGCTTCCTAGAGCTTAGATTAAAAAACAAACCAATTCAAACTGAATCAATGGCCATCACAAATTAAGGCAATAAGTAGCAATAAATGCTGCTCACCAAATACGGTGAATGCCACATACTAAAAGGGGAAGAAAGAAACTAAAAGTAACCTTCAAAATTTTTAAAAAATACTCAAGAAACTTTTCAGAAAAGTGAATGTCTAGAAAAATAAACATCTTGACAGAAATGATATGCACATATACATACCCCCATCTTTCTCTTTAGGAGCCTCAAAGACCATTAACACTAAGTTCATTTACTAGGTCTAACAAATTCTGTCAATGGAGCTGTCTTCAATCCTTTAAGGGTATCTTTATGTCTTGCCAGCCACCCACAGTTCCTTTACCATTCTCCTCCCAGCTAAGCACCAGGGGGCCAGGGTGACTGACACAACAGCAGTCTTAGTCTGGGATATTTGCACAGGCTGTTTTCATGGCCTCACTATTCTGTTGTTAGTGGGAGCAGAGAGGGGAAGCGGATGCCTCCTGGTCTGGGCTGAGATCCTCAGGCAGAGGGGAGGCAGTGACAGGTCTGAGCTCTCAGGGCCTCCTTAGGTTTGGCCAGTTGAATACAATCCATGTACTCCATAGCCACGCATTTAGAAAAGAGTAATTGACACTGATGGCCAATCGGATTTTCTTAGATTATAAATCAAAGTCATGCGATATTAAAGATGAGGGTAAAAGAGGATAAAAGAAAATCAGCTACTGAGCAATTTATTCTGACTCTCAGATCCACAGAGAAAACAGCGGTAGACCTAAAACTTGTCTCTAACTTCCTGGAGCCTCTCTTCAGTACTCTCTTCACTCAGAAAGAGTCTAAGAGGTAACAGATACTTGCATTACTGAAGAAGGTGTAAGATGTCCAGAGGGGCATGAGGATGTCCTGGCTGTAGCCACTCATAAAGTGCTGCTGATAAAGAAGACAGAGGCTGTGTTTTTTCTGCAGAAACCGGGGCCTTCCATACGGCACAGTATCACTGCTGATGTCCTGTACTGAGTTACAAAGGGAAAACAAACCACACTTCATGTTATTTGGTACTATACAATGAAGCACTCATCCACCCTCTTCTCCTTTGAGGATTTTGAGAAGTGAGCTTTTAACCATAACAATGTCACAGAGACTGCAAAATGCAGAACCACACACAAATTTGAGTCCCTGAAACTTTGTTTCGTTACTGGCATATTAAGGTCTATCAAAGTATCACAAGAAGACGATACCTTGAATTACTAGAAATTCCAGTTAACCAGAACATACACTACAAGAAAACAAAAAATCTTTTTGAAATAGTCTCAGGTAGCCCAGGTTGGAATCAAAGTTAGTATGTAACCAAGGTTGACCTTGAACTTCTGACCCTCCTGCTTGTTCTCCTGAGTACTGGCTTTACAGGTGTATGGCACTGTGCTTAATTTTATGTGGTGCTGGAAAACTGAACTCAGAACTCCACGAATGCTGGCAAGCAATCTACTACCTACCAGCTGAACTACAAAAACCAGCCCCCTGAAATTCTTTAATGTTATCATCTACTCTTCACTAAATAATTAGCCAGTGAAGGAAACATATGTGGATACTGAGAAGGGAAACCCAAGAACAAGGGACTGAAATGATGACACTGTAGACAATGGCTACATAGCCTTTTCTAAGTGTCAGGTGCTTTGCAGAACTACCTTCATTTTCTCTCTCTCCTGTATCTCCTACACCCATGAAATAGGTCCTACACCTGTTCCACAGATGCGGCGACAACAGCTTGCAGGGAATAAATACTTTCCCCCATAGTGTTGCTCCTGAGCCCACAACCTAGCTGCAGCCAGGTCTGACATTGTCAATCTTACCATATATTGGGCATACCACCTTGGGCATAAAAGATTGCCCTAACCCCAACAGTTACAAGAGCATTTTCACACAGACCAGCTCAAGGCAGGATTAATGCAAAATTGACCATTTTGTTCCAGCAAGGAAAATAATATCAGTCAGGTCATTTAAAGATCAGGGTTTGCAATTTGAGCATCCAGGTCACAATTGTGTTATATTGCCTCTGTTGCCTATAAAACCATAACCCTCATTTAAAAATTATGAGGGAGTAACTGCAGATAGATAAATCAACCTATATTAAGGAGATGGGAATTTTCCAGGCATTTTAAATGGAACTCTAAACTTTCTTATAAACCTATTAAAAAAAAATTTCACACAAAACACTCTCAAAGGTTCAGAAAGAGAACCACGGGTGTCACAAAGCAGGGGTTACACCTTTCCAGTGAGAAATGGCATTCCTTTCATTGTGACTTACAAGCTAGACTGTCTGGCAACGAAAACTCTGTCCCTGTAAACAGCTCCCTCTTTCCTTCTTTCACTGGCCCCTTATGGAGACCCACCGCCACCAAGGGCAACTCTGATGCTTCTAAATTCCAGATCCAAGAGTAACTTACCATCTTCTGTGGTCAGATTAAACTCTTTCTCAAAGTCCACAACTGGCACAATCTAAGAGAGGTTCATAAAAATGATTTTTAAGGATTAAGAGAGATACATGCTTTAGTTCTTTCCTGTATCATTTCTATAGCATTAACTAACGCAAGAAAGAACAAAAACAACATTTACAAAGTATTGTAGAACTCAGAGCTTTTCCTTCTTCAACAGGAGAGTACCCACACCCACACCAGTTGCAACAGAACAAAATTATCTGTGGCCGTGGAAAACTATAAATCTGCTTTCCAGTTGTGATCTCTACTCTCAGTCTAAGTAAAAAAAAAAAAAAAAAAAAAAAGAGGAAGTGTAAAATCAACTCCATCTACTAGCTTTATGAATATTGCCCATTTGGTTCACAAATTACTGAATACTTTCACATTCTTACAACAACTAAGATGTTAACACTGTGACTAGGGCAGTCACAATGAATGAAAATGGGACATCCTATTATATGCACTTGAACAAAAGTCCCCCCCCCCAAATGCAGTACATTGGGCTGGCTGTTTTAGAGAAGGAACATTCAATAAGATGGGTTTACCCTGCTAGGGGGACCCTCTAGCACACAGGGAATCTGCTCATGTCAGCTCCTCTCAAATGGGACCTAACCCACAGACTTGAGTAAGAGGCACAGCAGGTGCAGCCCTTGTGGTTTTACCCCCATTTTTATTCTCATGGAAACCACAAGTGACATCAGTTATTCTGCAGATGAAGGGACAGGGTCAGATTGAGGGAGTCACCAGCCTGCAACCCACATAGCTAGACAGCCCAGGATCCAAAATTAGTCTAGTCCCTGTCCTCTAGATGGCTTGTATATTGTGGTCAGAAGTCTTCTTTGGAAGACAAATGGTATCAGTAATACATAGATAAAACTTTTAGCAATTCCCTTATTCCTTTGAAGGATCGAGATAGGGCTCTGTCTTGAACTATAAGGTGTGGCCAACATCAAGAAGTGTGGCTTGTAGGGCTGTTTTGTCCAGCTGTTTGGAATGTAGGATCAGCTTGTACTCTGTTTCAGGCGGTCTGGCGTGATCTAGCCATTTTAGTCTGGAAGGAATCTTTTCAGACTACAGCCAGGATATCTGAATCTTCTTCGAATCCCCCAAGACAGCGCCCCTTACCAGCAGGAAGTAGTTTGGAAAGAACGACGCCCAAATTCCCAAATATTGTGTATAAATGTTAGTTTTCATTTAATTGGACTGTTATATAAAAATTAAATAAAATTTAAAAAAAAAGAGCAGTTAGCCTAGGAAACGCCACAGGTGAGGGCAGAAAGAAGATTCTTTGGTTGTTCTAATGTTTTCAAGACTGTGAGCTTTACCTATAAATAAGCTGCACCTGCTTAAGCTTAACAAAAAAAAAAAAAGTGTGGCTTGAGAACAGAACACTCCCCTGGGGCACCAGGCCACTCACCTATCATCCCTCAGATCAGGACTTAGGCTGGCTCCCACAAGTCCCTTTACTCAGGGTCCTACTTCCAGTCAATGCCCTAAGTGTCATACACAAAATCCTTCGTGGCTATGGGTTGAGCTTTGCACTGCAACCTCCAGGATCACACTTGGGAGTTTCAGCTGTGTCTTATGACTTCAAGATATTAAAGATGCTATTCTGGTTATCAAAAAAAGCAGGAGGATCCTCTAGCATTTACCCTACCTGCCATGAAGTGATCACAACATCCAGAGATTAAAATAGCTAAAAATGCAAAAGCTAGATGGGGAGATGTCTAACAAATGGTCTGCATGTGTTTTTAGATTAAACAAACAAACATATAGATGCTTAATAATTGTGTTATATCCAACGTCTGCATCTTAATTTCATCATAGCTGTTTCTGTAGTACTTTACACACACACACACACACCAGTGTTATTAAGCATTGCAGCTAGACCTACCCAGGAGTCACACGTGCAGCCAAGATTACTGGATGTTGATTTGATTGGACACTGAGCCAGGGAGCTCTTTTCTTCAGGAAGATTTGCGTTGTAAACAGGATTCTTTAGAAGGTGATTAAGACTGCCATGACTTCCATTATTAGGAGCTGGGATCAAACCCAACAAATCTGCCAAGAGTTAATTAGAAGTTTCAAGATCAAACAAATTGATTTATACCATGAGTTTAATTTTGTTGTTTTAAGTCCAATGTATTTGATTCTGCTACTATTTAACTATAGTGAAGATAGAACATACTCAGCTTTGGGCTATAGCAACCTGTGGATATTTTGCCCACATAAGGATTTTTATTATTAATTAAAATTTGTATGTGTGTGTGCATGTGAATGCAGGTGACTTTGGAAGCCAGAGAAGGTGTCAGATCCACTACAGCTATCTGATGTGGTTCTTGGAACTTAACCTGAGTCAGAAGTCACAGATCAAGCAAGCCCTACTCATTGTGGATCTTCCTTCATGTCTGTTGACAGTGGTATCCATTCAACCAGCATAGATAGCAGAGACACCACACGTTCTGGAAACCCCAAATTCTTCAATGGTTCCCATCACTGCTGAGTCAAAAGTCATAACATTAAGCCTCAAGCTCTGAGTGTTTTACCATGTGCAGTGTAAATGGAACAGGCAAAGTCACCAGGCAGCATGCACTCCATAGGCTTCCCATATTCTCAGTCAGAACAAACACCATGGAAGAAACTAAGTATCTTCTCTCCCTGCACTAGCATGCCCACAGAGGTGCCAAGTGTGTGCCCTACTCCATTTGTCTTAGAAGAAATGTGTTGCTCACACTCACCACACATTAAGTTATAGACTTCAATATTTTCAAAGGAGTCAACCTCAGCGCCATGTCTGAAGGCAGGTCCATAGCCAATAAAGAGAGCCTGAATTCACCAGAAATGTTAAAGCTTATCAGTTTAGTTCAGTTATTCCTGTAGCTGATCAAAATTTTATGCTGTGTGCTTTGCACACACATATGACATACATACACACATATATGTATCTAATTGAAATGCCATGCCTAGTGGGCAGTTTTGGATATTTGAAGGCAAGGGATGTAATTATTTTACTAGACCCAAGATAAATGATAAATGGGTGTTTACTGGGGAACAATTATACAAAGAACCACAGGAGCATTTCTCTGCCCTTCCTACTGGATAGGCTGACCCAACACAAAGAGCACGAAAAGGAAAGCCACGCCTCAAGCTTCTTTCTTGCCACTTTCGTCTGCCTAAGGCCACGCCCAAGGGGGGTGTGGCCACAGTTACAAGTTCATGGCAAGACCGCTATATTGTTTTAGTTTTCATTGTATATATAACTTAAAGAGACCTATGTCTTCCTCTTTATTATAATCTTTGCCTTGATGATCAGAACAAAATAAAAGATGAAATAGCTTTTTTTACATCTATGAAATGATACAAACACCTTACCCTGCCCATATCACAGAGTGCTAAAGAGCTGATCAATATTACAACTAGATTCAGAAAAAATATTAAAGGGCCAGCAAATGCCAGGAGTTACCTCCTTTCAGACCATAATCGTGATAATCTCTCATCAATCCAATCACTGACTTTTACCATGAGCCAAATCCTCATAGAGCATAGATACATTTAAAATGACCATTGAACACATAGGAATGAGGTCAGTAAATCTCATGTCCATGGAAACAGGAATACAAACTATTAACAAATTCCTTAACTTCTCACAGAGAAAAAAATAGCTCAATTACTGTCTCATTATACGTCCACTCTGGGTTTTCACAACTTAGATTTCATTTATCTGGCTTTCCTCAGATCAATCCTATTGGTGGAATATAAAAGGTTTACTCACTTGCATATTTGAAAACAGGTTATCAGAGCCATGAAATCCACTTCCACAGTACTTCCTTTCTGATGGATTCCTACATTTTGACATGATATTACATTATGAATTATAATAAGTTAGTAATATAATTCTAGTTATTACACAAAACTTCAACCACACCACTGCTTTCATTCAGAAAGGACAAGTGGCTAGTTTTAAATTAACATAAACTAAATAAAACCATCTGCGTTTGAAACTCCTGAGTGTTATCCCTGATACTATATTGCTCAGAGCTGATTTGATCATGAAACAAAAGGCAGAGGTGACCAAACTTCAGCATAAAGATGAAAGGGGCTTGATAGGCTAACTGTGCAGTTGTGACCTCAACGAATGCCACTAATCTCCATTGTGTCAGGTTTCAACTTCTCCTGTAGGTCATTTGTAAAATCTCAATAATGATGAAGCTTACAATAATGCTCAGTAATGCTTACTGGAGGTTCTGGGGATTGAACCTTGAATATGGTAGGCAAACACTTTACCACTGAGCTATGTCCCTACCCTTCATATAGAGTTTTTATATAGTCACTATACACCAAACCTGAGGCTAATGATTGGCTTACCATGCATCTTCTAGACGAAACACCCAGCTCTCTAATACAGTGGAGAGGATGTGCTTGTGTTGATAGAACTGTGTTTCACTGTTAAGTACTGTTTGTCAGTGGCATTTGTCATCATTAAAGAATGGTTTTATGGATGAGTACCAAAAGATATAATGGTCAAGTTCTGAGACATGAACAATATTAATCATCCAGATTAGTGAGTACCCCAACAAGCTGAGGTTTCTTGATGGGTTGGTATAGGAAAATGAAAAAGAGCAGCTATGTGTAATGAAGACACTCACTTGTTAATAAAATGCTTTCACAACTGGCGGCCTTGGAAGGGCTGTTAGAAATGGCTCGTGTAAAAGAGACACAGTGGTAAGTGATAACACACTAATGTAGACCAACAGAAACAATGAACATAGATGTGATGTGAGCAGACTCTCAGGCAGAGCTGTTCACCTCTCCCCAGGAGATTCTAGCAACATCTGGAAACATTTCCGGCTGTCATAAGTAGGGAAGGAATGCTAAACACAAGTCCAGGGTCCTGCCAAATTTCCTATAATGAACTAAGCAGCACACAGAATTACCCAATTCAAAATGTTTGGAGTGTAAAGTTAGAGTAAAACATCCTACAGGGACTGTTAGAAAGGGGCCGATCTTCACCGTGGACGGATACTAGATCAGGCTGAGTATGCCCAGGATGTCTGCTGAACTTACAATGCAAGTTGCCACTGAGGGTCCAGATAGAATGTCAGCGGCTCGATCCTGTCACTTTTAGCGAAGTGCAAGCGCTTGGGTAAGAACTGTTTCAGGTAAGGCCTAAAGTGCTGGTTTGGCTCCAGGCACTGATGTCACAAAAGACAAAAAACAAAACAGAACTGTTATTCTCTTGTCAACTGGGGCAGACATTGAAAAATCTCTTACTGCAGATAGGCTTTACTCACAAACATTTATCTACCTGTCAGGGAGACATGGTGCTGGTAGGAAACTGAGGGTCCTTGCTAGCTACAGAATCTGAATGGTGGTTGAAGCTTTTATTGGGTATTATTATTACTACTGAACAAACATCCTAGGACTCTTGAAAGTGTCACTAGGTTACAGTGGACTTACAACTGACGTACTTATTTCACATGCCCTGTTAAATACAACTATAAAACATCTTTAATACTTAAAAAGTGTGTCAAATATGAAATAGAATAAATATAAAACTCAGCACTTGGACATAAGTATATTTTTAAAATAGATATTGGTATAAACCAAATGAGAACCAAGATTGTAAATGTGCAATATATTACCAAAAATAGCAGTAACTAAATAATAAAAAAAATTTAAGATACTCACAGAAAGATTTTTTGCGAGGCCTTCATAATTAACTGAAGGGACAAACAAAAGAATTAGTAGCTAATTATATACTAAAATTAAAAGTACAAATGATGCAAAATGTGCAATGTTATATTGTCACACTCAAACTCATCAGTGCAATACCAAAGCATATTTTTCTTTCCTTTTTTGAGAAAAGCGGGATCTCATGAATCCCAGGCTGGCCTCAAACTCACTAGGTAATGGGGGATGTCTTTGAACTTTTAATCCTCTGGCCACAACTCTAGGTCTACAGGCATTGCCTCCATGCACATTTCATGTGGTAGCAGGAATCAAACTCAGGGTTCCGTGAAGCTAAACAAGCTCTCTGCAAGGAGGGTTACATCACTAGCCCCAAAAGCTGATTCCAAATAGCTCATTCATTACATCACTGCATGGCCACTGGAAAGAATAGACAGATCCTTAGGTACCTCTCTGTAATGATGGCTAAGAAATGGTGTCACACTGGTACATAAAAAGGAAACTTAATGCATTATATATCTGCCCATTCATCTGTGCATCCATATGCTTGCCAATTCATCTATATATGCTTGTCTGTCTGTCTATACACTCATCTATCCAAATACCTATTTGTATATCCACCCATCTAAATCTATCACTACTTTACTGTGTAATAATAAAAATATATGTTTCAGATAGATTTCAGAAAATATTTAGGACACATTCCAAACATACCAAGTTATCTCCAGGGAGAAAGTATGAGTTGCGATGTAAAGAAGGAAATGACCTTTTGTTCTTTGCATATTTCACAATTCAATGACAATTCTAGAATTTTCTTTCTTTCTTTTTTTTGCATGTACTTGTCTTTTTTTAAATAATTTATTATTATTTCTTATTTTACATATCAATCCCAGTTCCCTCTCCCTCCTGTCCTCCCTCCCTCCCATGCCCCTGGCCCCCTCCCATCCCAGCCCCCACCACTCCACAGGGAGGGTGATGCCTTCCAGGAAGGATCAACAAAATCTGTCAAGTCATTTGGAGTAGGGACTAGGCCCTCCCTCCTGCCTCTAGGCTAAGGGAGTATGGCTTCATGGGGAATGTGCTAAAATTTTCAAATAAAAGAGACACAATGGAGAGGGCAAATAGATTGGTGTAAAAACTGAGTGATGGGAGATGTCATTCTGTAAATATGTTTCTCTTATTGGTTAATGAATAAAGCACTGTTGGCCATTAGAAAAGGAAGATAGGAGGGACAGTAAGGAGGAGTCAGCATGGAGAGACTGGAGAGAACAGAGGTCCAGGCCTACTCTCCAGTAAGATAAGACCACATGGAAATACATAGATTAATAGAAATAGGTTAAAATTAACACAGAGCTAGCCCATAAGAAACTAGTACCCAGCCAACAGCATTATATCAAATACAGAGCCTCGGTGTGTTATTTGGAGCTGGCGCCGTGGTGGGTCCAAACCGGCAGGGAAAACCTACTTGTAACAGCTGAGTGTAAAAGTTAAGTTCATCAGCATTTCCTAAAAACCTTTGTGCCACATATTAGAAACAGTCTAATTTTCTAAATTTTTCTTGACTTCTCTATTTAGTTCTACATAAACTTGTGAAAATTACTCAGACAAAAGAATCCCCATTGTATGTAGATAGATGAATTGATATACAGGTTTTGCTTTCATTTGGGAAATTTGGAGCCCTAACTGGACAAAGTGGTGGCTAAAGCTCAGCCACATGCTAAACACCACTCAGGAGTGTCAACCTATATGTTAATGTCAGTCACTCCATGCCGAATGTCATCCAGGAGTGTCAGTCTATATGTTAATATCAGTCACTTCGTGCTGAATGTCATTCAGGAGTGTCAGCCTATATGTTTTTCAGAAGGTCACAACACCCCTCAATATCCATGAGCAATGTCTCTACGGCCTTCCCAGAGATGCTAGTAACCTCAAATACCCAAATCCCCTACAAAATGATGTAGTTTTAGTATATAACTCACATTATCTTTCTGTATATTTTTAATCATCTCTGCATTACTTATAATGCCATGGATTGCCTTACAATGCGAGTGAACTGAAGCTAGCTATTAGACTATATAATGACAACAAAAATTATCTGCACATGATTAAAAGAGTCTCTTTCTTTTTTCTTTTTTTAACCCACAGTAGCTTGGGTCAAGAGACTTCCATGGACCTCTGGATAAAGTTGTATTACTTTTCCAAATTAAAAAGCAAAACAAAAATTCCTTGTTTTTTTTTTTAATACAAAGCCTTTGGTTTATATATATTTGCACAAATATTTTCTTGGAGTGAAATGTATTTTTCTTCACTAATATTCAACCATCTCTACTGAAATTCATTTCATCACAGAGTCCAAACCCAACCCAACTTTGATAATTTAAACACATTTACATTTTCCATTGCAAAACTAATTATATCAAAAAGATGAACAAAACCAAAGATGTAGATCAAAGGGGGCAGTAGATATAAAAGGCAGTTATGAAGTGAGCTTGATCTACAGAATAATAATATTTTTGTGTGTGCAGTTTTGTAGACCAGGCTAGCTTTGAACTCATAGAAATCTACCTGCTTCTGCCTCCCGAGTGCTGAGATTAAAGCATGCACCACCACTACCTGGCAATAAATACTTTAAGCATGCCTTGGCTGTTTGTGTTCCAATGTGGTCAGAAGAGAAGATGAAATTGCTTGATTTACTCTGTAAAAGATGCATGCTACCATCTTGGGAAATTGTTTAAGGAAATCATTTCTTAGTAAAGGAATTGATTGTCTAGAGAATGCATAATTTCTGGTGTATTCTTCTTCATAACATAATAACAGTCTAAAATGATGTGAATTATTTTAAAGGAATGTCACTCATTATCTAACCTTTAAATATATATCGCATTAGCAGTGTACAAAACTTAATAAATAAACCATAGATTATAATATGAAATATCAAATAATGTTTAGCCCAAGAATATAAAAGTGGTTAAGTTACCTTCACCCTGATAAGACTCACTGAAGTACAGAATACATGGTGAGGAGTAAATCAGGCTTTACTTTGGCTAACATACACTGATGTAGAGGAATGTACTTTCTCTAGCACTATCTGAAGCTAGCAAACAGCTTCACTCACATGAATAATATTTCTCTGGAACGTCAGTGGGTCTCAGTCGAGCAGCAGGCCCATAGACAACTTTAACATTGTTCACATCCCCCAAGTACTCATTCAGGTACACATACTTCTTACAGCTGCCTTGTTCCATGCCTGGGGGAAATAAGCCACACAACATATTGAAAATTGACTACAGAAAACAACAAATAAAGCGTAATTTCTTTCACTTGAAGAATTTGTTTTTGTTTCTTTGTGGTTATTGTTGTTGTTCTTGTTTTGCTTTTTGTTTTCTGAGACAAGGTCACTCTATGTAGTCTAGAACTCATTACATAGACTCGACTGGCCTCAATCTCACAGAGCCCTGCCTGCCTTGGCCACATAATACTTCCAGAATTGAATTGATTATGTACACACATAGGTACTCATGATAGATGAACATCTGATAAAACACAAAATGTCAGCTAGATGCACAACTTTGTATTTTTCACTATATCTCTCTTTTTAAAAATATTTATTATTTTTAATTATGTGTATGTGTGCCTATATGTGTATATATACCACAAGTGTGTACAGGAAGCCAGAGAATACAGATCCCTTGAACTAGTTACATGTGGTTATGAGCCTCCTGATGTGGGTGCTGGGAATTGAAGCCAGGTCCTCTGCGGGAGCAGTTAACAATCTTAATCCCTGAGTCATCTCTCCAGACTTTTGATATCCTTTCCTGTTCCTTCATCCCCAAACTTGGCACTTAACTGTGTGTTCCTTCTTACTGATGAATTATTATATCACCATGAATGTAAACTAGGATGTCCCACCACATTTGAAGAGGGCAATTTATCCCAAATCACCTCATATTAAACAGGAGTATATTCCTGAAGCATGAAATCCCTGAGCATACAATATGTTATGCTTCCTAAGATGGCTATCTACAACAATTTCTGAAGCAAAAACAAGTGATATTAACAAAAGAAAACAGAAAAAAAACCCAGTTCCTACTTTCTTACATGAATGGTATTATGAAATCCCAAAGCTGTATATAATTATGTATCATAAAAATTGCATTCCAGGGACTAACCCTGCTCAGAACCCATGATGGAAGGAGAGACTGGCCCCCAAAAGTTGTCCTCTGCCCCCACAAGCATGCATGCAAACAATTAAATTAAATAATAAATAATAATCAATAAACTATATCGTGAAAAACAGAAATAAAATTAATATGTACCACCTCCAAATTCCAATTTATCATGCTAAAACAAATTGAAGAAATACATAAGAATGTTTCCCAGTTAAAGCTAAATTATAGTTACCCAAATTTAATACTGGAGGTTATTAACACTTTATAGTGATGTAGAATTTTATGAAACCAAAAATTAGATAGGTGTGTTCACAAGTTTCTTTAATTTTATGTGTTGCTTATACTTTATATTTAATGCATTTTCCCTGAAAGTATCCAAAAGAAACCACGTTAAAAAAAAAAAATCTTATGTATAACACCCAGTAAAATAAACAAAAATCAACCAAGCCAAATTTCTCAAAACAGTGTTTAATCTAGAGAGTAACTGAATGAATTCAGATTACCATGGTCTGAGATGAGGATGAGGTTCAGGCACTTATCCAAGCTCAGGTCCTTCAAGCCATCCATCAGCATGCCAACCATTCGGTCAACCTTCTGTAGGGCCTTGATGACCTAGGAATGGGAAGCAGCCTTGTGTGATGCGCTGCACGCACACTAATGCAATTTCTACACATTCACAGTCTACTCAGAGGAAGGAAGGGAAGGAGGAAGGAGGGAGAGGGGGAAGAGTGAAATAATAGCAGTCAATAACTGAAATAATAAAAACCACACTGGCTGCCTGGTCAACTGTCCAAAGCACAGCAATAACCATGAGAAGAAACAGTGAGTTCCTCTAGACCTACTGTGATATGGCCAAGTTCTGGCCACATTTCTTCATAACTCTGTCTCTAGCAAGGAGCATGTCTGCCTTTTACTGATGACAGAGTCGAAGCAAGGGATGGTGAGGCTGCTCGATGCTGTGGACCTGCAGGACACATATTCTGGTGGAAAGACTACAAAGGACAAAAATAGTCCTGGCCGAGGAGCACTTTCCCTCCCTTTTGCCGGACACCAAAGCAACACAAAATAGTTTGCAAAGGGTTCAAATCCATGCCAGACACAGGGCCAGAAAAACAAGGAAAGATGGTCTATTCAATAGTTCAAGTTCCTATCCCTATTATTACATTCAATAATATTGCATTTAGACCAAGGAGCACAGATAGGGCTACCCAAAACAGAGCTCACGGTAGACGTGCCAAGCCAGTGGTACGAACCATAAAAAAAGACTCACAAACTATCCAGCCTAGGTCACTTGGGCAGGGAACTAGCATGAATTTGGCAGTACAGGATTTGCAGTCTGTCTTCTAGACTCAAAGGAGGCAATAGATATTTAGACAACACCCTCTTTTCCTCTTGTTATGCCCAACAGGATTCCAAGGTTCTGAGTCCTACGCATGTCTTAGGCTATAGATAAGAATTCATGTGTCAGCGGGGAGCATGGGAAGGTGGGAGAGAGAACTGGGATTGATATGTAAAATAAGAAAGGAAAAAAAAAAAGAATTCATGTATCAGAAGGAAACAGAACAAGCAAGCACAGATAAGCTCAAGTCACTTGGTTGCCAATGCTTCCTGCACTCCAGGGTACACAAATGCCACATCATGATAAGCACATGCCACATCATGATATGCAAATGCCATGTGATGTGAGCTCTGAAAGCAGTTAAGTGCTACTTTAAACTACCATGAATGTCGCCAGAACCTGGCTAAGTTCCTAAACCATGGCTGGTCACAAGACACAAGATATTTACTGCCTAGGCTACAGGTTCCCATCTCTAGTGTCACAGTAACTACCATAAACAATGTTGTTTGCCTGGTTCTGTACTTTCGATAGCATCTTCCATCCTTTCAAGTCCTAGCTGTTAGAAAGAAGCATTGCTCTCATGCAGGGTAGGGTCTCCAAAGAAGAGGTTGTTTCTGCCATGAGGCTCGCTACCTTCCATTTCCATAGACATTTGGAGTCGTGAATACTGAAAAGACTTCTCCAAGAGCACTCAAGTTGGAAGGCAAAGAAAGAGGATATGGCGTGGAGAAAAGATTTTGAATTGAAAAGCCAGGTGGTAGCAATGGTGCACGACTTTGATTCCAGTACTCAGGAGGGAGAGGCAGGCAGACATCTGAGTCCAAGGCCAGCCTGGTCTACAGATCGAGTTCCAGGACAGCCAGGGCTACATAGAGAAACCCTGTCTTGAAAAAAGAAATCAGAATTGAAAATACACATTTAGTTCAACAGTTCCATTGAGCATTGTAAAAATGTAAGCAATTCCAGTTCTCTCGGCTCTTGTTTTGTTTAAATTGTTCTTTTTGGTTCCATTATCTACAGCATTTTACTTTCCAGAAATCATAGTACCTTACAGAATGTTCTAGAAGCCCATTCCAAGGGCATAAGCTTAATGAGGAAAGTATATACAGATAAGAATGAACTTACCTCACTGCTGACAGGTCCGTGTGAATGCCCTGAGGAATCGGGTTCTTCTAAATACAGAGTGTAAAAGTGTGGTCTAAATCAAACAGTATCAAAATGTAATATTTTACGAACACATTGAAAAACAGAATGGAAAGAATAATTCAACAGTTGATTCTGATTAAAAATCCTACAGCACTGGGGTTACATTACTAAAATTCTGAGGAATTATTTACAAGCGTGGGATTCTTCAAAATGAAGCTATACTTCTTCAGTTTCTTTGGATATAAGACACCAGGACAAGGACTAGAGAGATGGCTCAGGGGTTAAGAGACTGGTTATTCTTCCAGAGGACCAGAGTTCAATTTCCACCACCCACATGACAGATCAGAACTGTCTATAAATCCAGTTGCAGGGGGTCTGACAACATCACACAGGTATGTAGGCAAAATACCAATGCACATAAAATAAACTATTTTGGCTGGGGAGTGGTGGCACGTGCCTTTAATCCCAGCACTCAAGAGGCAGAGGCAGGCAGATCTCCATGAATTCGAGGCCAGCCTGGTCTGCAGAGCTAGCTCCAAGACATCCAGGGCTACACAAAGAAACCCTGTCTATGGGGGTGAAAAAAAAAAGACATTGGAGCAAACAGCATTTTTGTTATTGTCAGTTTATTAGAAGCACACATCTATAAAACAAAGGAGCCTTTGTCCCAGACACTGTCTACATACCTTTCATAGCTAGGAAGCTGAAGCCACTTAAGAACAGCTAAAATTCTTTCTTCAAATGGCACTGACCTATAATTAAACATAAGCCAATGTAAACAAAACTACAATAACTCTGTGTCATACATAAATACTTTTCTCATTGGAAATAATATTAAGTGTAAGCAAAAGAAGCCCAACACCTATTGCATTTGAAATTATTTGAGATTTATTTGCCATCCTGTGATTCCAGTGCTCAAGAAACTAATGCAGAAACAATGTAGTTTGAGGTCAGGCTGAACTACATAGAAAGACCCTGCCCCACAGACGCCCCTCCCCAAAAAGGGTTATTTTCAAACTTAAATTTGCTTTTCGAATGAAGACAAGAATTTAACTTTATGTCAAAAAATGTTATAATTGGGTTTTGGAAAATGCTTCTTGTCTTCTTTTGAGGTACCATAGATTCAGTTGAAAACAGTTAGTGTCACATGAAGAGCTAAAGCCTAGAGGACTCACTCACTGGTAACTGGACGCAGATACCGGGAGGACAGGTAACAGTGGGCAACTTTCCTTCAGTGAAATTAGTTCTGCTTCCTCTGAGCCCTGAGTTTTACTAACACAGTCCACCGTTCTCCCCAACCCCCACACAAATCCCCTGTGATCTTTACTACATCTTGGAAACCTAGTCTACTCCTCACTAATCTGCAGACTCACCCAGGCTCTTGTGAAGATCAGACCTCATTTGCAATCTCAATCTAAGAGATGAAAAGCAAGGCAAACTATAAAAGAGAAACAGAACACTCTCTGCTTCTGTGAACCGTAGAGACCATACAGTAGCTTGAGATGACCAAAGAAATACCATCCTTTCCTAGCCTGGGATCTGTGAACATTTTTGACACTCTTGGGTATACTGTATTGTTGTTTCATCACAAATTTCAAGAGTATAAAACTATTTTAGGAGTTTTGCTAAAAATCAAAGAAAGAAAGTCTTCCTTAGAACGTCTGTATGAGTTTGAAAATCAGAGAGGCTATGCTAATAGCCCTTATATTAGACAATAAATATATTGAAGTAATTTAGGAATGGAAATACGAAATTCAGCTATCTTCTTTTAAACAATGTTCCAGAGTCCATCAGAAGCAGCTCCTACCTATGTAAGCTTCAATAATCCATCCTCTCCTTGTCTTGTTCTTTTGCTTCCTAGAGTTAAAACATATAGTGCCTCTGCTTGGAACCCTTTCTCCTGTGACTCTCTCTCTCTCTCCCTCTCAACCCCACCCCCTCTCCCTCCTTCCTTCTGTTTTTTGTTATATATATATATATATATATATATATATATATATATATATATATATATATATATATGCTTTGTTTGAAACAGACTGAGTGTGAAACTCAGGATGCCTCGTTCACATAGGCTGGCCTTGATCCCACTCTGCAACCTAGGCTGGCTTGGAACTCAGCCATCCTGCCTCTGTGCCTAACTACTTGAATTACAAAGTCTTGTACCAACGTGCCCAGTATTACCGCATTTTCTAAAATCACTGCCCAAGGATTTGAACACATTTTATCTGTGTTTCTACAAAATGCTGGCCTGATTTTACGTTTTTTTTTTTTTTTTTTTTTTTTTTTTTTTAAGTCCTTATCCTAAAGACCTTTACTGCAGTGTCATTCAAATGTTGGAACTCAGGACAAAATAAAAGGAATACCTCTATACCTACCCATTATACACTTTGTAGATATCTGGAAGAATTCCATCAATTTCCACATCTGATCCTGGCCAGAAATATGTGGCAGACTTAACCTGCTGACGATGAGCTGTGACCCAAATCTGGGGAAGTGAGGAGATAATGAAGACATTAACTTCTGAAGAGACAGAGAGCATTATCAATGCGTTCTTCTCTGATGATGCAATGTTTTCAAGGTCAAGAAGCTCCAGCCGTTAGATTACAATAACCATGCATATGACCTATAGTATCAAACCATAGCAGTTAATGTTTCTATTGCCACATTATTTAACAAAAATTAAATAATTGAAAAGCTGAAAATATGAACTACACTCATTTGATCATTATGCTACATCAAATTATTACACTATGCACCATCAGTCAAACAACTAGTACCAGAAGAAAGAGGACTCAAGCTAGAAAGAAGAAAGAAGGAAGGAAAGGAAGAAAGAGAGAAAGACAGACAGACAATAAAACCCAAATCTATCTTTGAAGTTCACTGCTCTTAAACTACGCAATCACACATACACATGGAGTGTCAACATTGGCCTGCACTAGAAGGGAGGCTAGAGGCGCAGGGAGATCACATAGGTTGCTAAAATTCCTAGGGTATCAGTTTATTTTCCTCTGATTTAAACAAGTAAGATTACCAAACAATTTCAGTAGCCACAATAAGCAGCTTACCGGCTGTCCTTTGTACCACAAAGGGTTGAATTTCTCTTTACTTTTAAGTGAGAAAGAAGCATTCATTTGGGGGTCATACATCTTGTTGTCTATTATGCCATGGGATTCTGGATAAAGTCCCTAAGGAAAGATGGAATGCAGATTATAGCTCACATTGCAAAACAAATTATTTCATTATGATCCCGCTGAGCTGAAGTTGACTAATTCTCTTGAACAATGCTTCAATTACATTCTCCTGATACGAACACAAAAAGTTGAAATGCCTACTCACTGTGACGATGCTGTAATGATTGGGAAACGTTTTTGTAGGGTACACAGGCCTCATGTTTTTAGTGTATGTTCCACAGTTTTCTAGACAGAAAAAAAAAAAAAAGCAGACATTGCTATTAGGCATATCATATGAAGTAATTATCCCAGGATGCAGAGTAAGCAGCCCATCAAAATTCAGAGCAAATAAAAAGTAACACAATTCTACAAGGAGAAAAATGTATTATTTATTTCTCTCTCTTCCCCTCACTTCCATGTGCCCAGGCTGGTACCAAGTTTGGTGGTTTGGTATATAGCAAAGGAGAATTTGAACTTCTCATCTTGTTCCACCCACCTCCTGGGGGCTAGGATTACATTTGTCCACCATCACGCCTGGTTTATGCAGTCCCAGGGATTCATCTCAGGCTTCATTCGTGTGGGCCAAACACTCTACCATCTGAGCCACACCTCCAGACCTTATTTTCTTTGTTATGAAAACAGTAAACTAGTGATTAAGCCAACATTTGCCTACATTTATCAATGGCATTAAGTTCTAGATGAACGGTTTGTAATAGCATGATGCTTAGTGACCAAATAGCTAAATTATAGGAAGTGTGAGGGAAAGAGACTACCTCAGCCAGATCTGCAAATGAAGACTAAGAAGAGGTAGCAGTTAAGGTGATGCTGCCCCAGACTAGAAAGCACAAACCAGCTATCCAGAAATAAGCTTATTAGCTACTCTGAAAGCAGAAGGCACATGAGTCACGGAGAGCTGAGGAGCTAGACACTGCTGATGGTGCCCTCCTGGGCTAGCCCTGTGTGTCACTCTTTGCACTGTCTACTGTTGGGGAGGGACCTACGATTGATGATTCCAGTATTTCAAATATATTACCTGAGAATATTCCCCAGATCTGTGAGTGACTGCATATGTATGGCCATCCTAAAGGCTCTGAATCACTAGCTTCAACTCCACCCCCACCCCTGACCACCACACCCCAGTTACCCAGTGCTGCAGTTTAAGCTAAATAAGCCTGGATTCAGTTAAAATGTCACACATAGGTGCTGACAGCTCCTTGACATTGAATTCAAGAGCCATGTCATGACAGGTACCATGAAGACAAGTTTCCTCAGGAAGGGACAAAGAGCTCGCTAAAACCTTCAAAGTCCACAGGCTGATTTATGTCAAGTGTCTGTCAGAAAAGATTATCCTCCAGGTACACATTAAAAACTTAAAATTTTAAATTAACACAGAATAATGATATGCATATGTGTTTACTGAGAGTAACTTTTATGTTTAAAACAGCATAATATATTTCTCTAGGAGATATTTTTGAATTCCAGTAGAGTACTTCAAACAATTGCACATTTTCTACTTATATTTGAGGCCCATGGAACACTACAGCAACTGTTAAGCACTAACAGCTAGCCAAGTCTTAATAGTTGTCACCATCCATATTTGTTTTCCCTCTTTCAATAATAATGCCATACCCGACTAAAAACAAGACTTAAAGCTTAAGTTTTAACATTAAGAAAAGACTACCTTGTTTCGTCAGTAATTTGGAGACTAGTTTTTCAATGAAAGCTTTAAGATAAAGAAATTGAAGGTGGGCCCAGATCTACATTCCTTTAACCTCGATACTTGGCAGGTGAAGGCAGGAAGATCAGGAACTCAAAGCAATCTTTAGGACACAATTTGTCTAAAGCTAGCCTAGGTTACACAAGACCTTGTCTCAAAAATAGAAAAGATGAAATTGTACAGATATTCAATTTGACCCAAATATATTCAATTTGCCCCCAATGATAGCAGAGGCCAGCTGGCCACTTCTGTAGTCTACATGAGTAGTATACTAGTTTTCACATTCTTCAGCTTTTGAGATTCTACTTAAACATGAATATTCAGGACACAAATAAGTGGGTATTTTTTCCATAAACCACAAAATTCTCAAAAATAATAAATATGCGTAGCATGGTCAAGGGTTAAGGTACTAGGAAAACTGGTTAAGTTGGAAGCATTTTCAGGGAAAATTTCCAGGATCTACAATATCAAGACCAGTGCTGTCACAGGTTTACTGCTAGGTAATGGAGAAGTTTGGTAAACCAGTGAGAGGCTTACATAGTACTTTTCCAAAAGAAGGCCGCCTCCCTCACCCATCGCCAAAGTCGTGACCCTCCAGGACTCAACTCTGAAGTTACTCACTCAGCTTGCTAATAACAGGAAGAAATCCACCCCAGGTGTGTAAATATTCAGCTCTGAATCCATCCAACGAAAATAAGAGAGTAGGAGGTGAGTCAAACCTGGTAAAGAGAAAAAGAAAGCTGTGTATGTAAAGGGGCAAAATGAAGACAGAGCCCATAAAGATGCTCTCCCTGGCTACACCAGAGGGGAGGCTCCTCACTGAGTCAGAGTGCATTTAGGTAGGCCGGAAAGTCAGCAAGAACACTCAAGCCAATGCCTTACATGCACTTATATTTATGTACAAATTTTATCAAGGAGTAATTCCCATGCATGTAGCATCAATAATACTTATAAAGGATCCATACCATTTTGAGCTACTACATAGAAACTTGCATCATGGTTCCCACCATTCTAAAAGATCAGTTAAATGTCATTGTCACATTATAGGATTTTCATACTTCCTATGAAAATAAATTCGAAAAATAGCCTTGTCTAAACTACATTTCCCCCATCAATTCCTTTTCTGAATAAACCTCTGCCTCCCCTTCAGTAGATGGTGCTTCATTAGTCATAAAATGTATGCTATGGTTTGGCCTCTGTTGCTTTCTTTTCATATGCTGATGAGTCTGACTAATGCTTAGCGAGTGCTCTCCCACTAAGCTGCATCTCTGGCCTTATTTAATTTTTAAGTTCAATATATTTTAAATAGGTAAGTACGTGGTGCAGAAGCTTGAGAAACATTGCATTAAACAATGAAATGATTTACAGCTAGGGATGTTCACAGAGAAAGACACAGAAGATGTGGGACACGGAAAGCCGAAGAGGACACTCCATACACTGGGTGCACTTGGCAAAAGAGAACAGTTATGGGTTCCAAAAAGCAGTCATGGCTCGGAAATCATGTTGCTTGTAGCAGGTAGGAAAGTTGCATTAGTGGATGACTGTGAACACACTTCCCACAGACAAGTTCTCAGTACTTTAAATCTGAGGGCAAATGCTTTCTTTATCTTAGCTTCTTAACCTTCCCATTGGAACCTCACAGCCAGACCTAAAAGTGACCACACTAAAGGAAGAGCTCTGTTCTACAGCCTTCATAATTACTCTGGAGAATATAGCTTCCCTGGGAAATCATAGTTAACTGTGTACAGGCTCAGCAAATGCACACAATTATGTCAATAAACAAGAAACAGAAAAGCAGGTTAGTGAACCACCAGGTAAATATACTGACATAAAATACCCAGAATAGTATGCTCTAAAGTATGGCAGGAGTTGTATTTGCCACTAAAGGACTTAAATTACGTTTTCAAACAATGATCAATGTTAAAGTAAAATTCAACAAGTCTAAAATTTTAAGATACCTTAGCATTAAGAAAATAAAAACAAAACAGCTTAGAGAGGAATCCCCCCCCCAAAAAAAAAAACTTGTGATGAAAAATTAGTTAGGTTAGGTTTAGTTTTTGTTGCCATTACTACTGTTTCAAGCCAAAAAGTTGTATGATAAATTACACAAGAACAAAATAAGCAAAAATACAGGTTTAATGTGTTTTAAAGTTTGGGAGGACATTATTTTATACTGGTAAAATATGTATTTCTTAACATAAATAGTTCAAAAAAGGACACAGACCAATTACAAAACCCATATAGCTTTCTCTCACAGATGTTATTTATTCAAAAAAATGTATGCAATTACTAAAAAAAATTTAAAAGAACTGTAATTTGCTACAAGTTCAAAATGAAAACTCCCAAAAGAGAGCCACAATATTTGCTTCCAAAGAAGGTTACAAATACCACACCACCAGCAGTCATGGATAACAAATGCTGTTACTCATGGTATGTCTCTTTCTCCTAGTTTCCAGAGTCATGTCATACCATACCAGCAGTGAATACAAGGTCCAGTGAAAGCTCATGTTTAGTCAGCCAACGATTTATTACTGTCTTTAATCTTAATTTAAAAGAAAAACAAACACCCTTCTAAAAAAGGAAAAAAATATGTATATCTCAGAATATGGTCTTACTCTGCTGGACACTGTGGCATATCGATGTTTTCACATGTTTCTTCTACCCAACTTTTCTTCTCTGGAATATTTTCAGAAAAATAAAATAAAGTGAGCACACTTCATAATGGCAGGAATGCAACGTTTATCAGATACAGCAACAAAGGCAACCAAACACACATCATGAGGAATGGAGAAACCAAAGTACATAACTGCAGTATTAAAAATATATTACTACTCCTCTGTCTCCGAATATTCTGCACCCATGAATTCGACCAACTGCAGACTGAAAGTATTTTTTGAATTATATCTGTATTGAACATTACAGTTCATCAACAGTGCCATATATACCAACTGTTTACATACCACTTACATTTTACAGGTACTGTAACTAGAGAGCATTTAAGGTATGCATGCACAGGTCCTGTGCAAATGCTATGGCATTTAATAGAAGGAACTTAGTGCCAATGGACTGGAGTATCCTCACAGGTTCTTCAAGTTGTCTCCATTGGATACAGGGACAAGTAGGCCATCTTTGTGACCCAACTAAGCCATCTTTGTGAGAACTGAGATATCCTTTTCCTTTTTCTAATTCTTAATAATTTCAAGCAGCATTGATAGCCTACAGCTACTCTATAAAATTGACACTTTGGTGTCTTAGTCCCCTCACATTTAGAGTTAGGTTCTGTTACAGATTTCAAGAAACCTTGTAATTTTTGAACAAAACACTGTTTTGTTCACTGTTATGCACACTTTGTGAAATTGGGTTGCCATGATTGGTGTAATAAAAAGCTCAATGGCCAATAGCTAGGCAGGAGGTATGTGTGGGACTTCCAGAGACAGAGACGATTCTGAGAAGAAGAAAGGCAGAGCCACCAGCCACACACAGAGGAAGCAGCGTGAGCAGTATGGAGAGATGAGGTAATGAGACACGACAGAATATAGATTCAAATAAGTACATTCATTTAAGTTATAAGAGCTAGTGAGACAAGCCTAAGCTAAGGCCAAGTTTTTATAATTAATAATAAGTCTCTGTGTCATTATTTGGGAGCTGGTGGTACAGAGAAAGGCTCGTTAGAAAACATTATAGTACTATCAGCATCCTGCAGAGTAATTTCAATGTCTGCAGCCATTCCACCCTGAATGCATGTGATCTCATCAAATCAATTTTACACCAGCTCTGGCACTGTATGGCAGACCCTGTTACAAGAAAACCTGAGACACAGAAGTCAGCCAGATCTGGAAGAGGATCCTTACACAACAAGTACAATATCAAGCATGAAAGCACTGCCTTAATGGCATGGGGAGGGTGGTGGTAAAAAAAGAATAGAAGAATGGCTGCAGGTAAAATAAGGTCAACCATGTATGGACAATAACTGTCATTAAGCTGGATGATGAATTACACATTCTTAATTCATGTATGCATTTGCCCCATTCTGCACTAAAAGTTTTTACAAATCTTTCTCAGCAAATATAACCAGCCCATTGATACAGCTGATACTGTGATGAAAAGAACTACAGCTGCTAGTATAAAAATTAATGCCTATGCAAAAGCCCCGGAAGGCCCTGGAAGATGCCAGGGTCCTAGAGATCCTGGTGGGTGTATGGAAGTCTGACCTTGGCACACAGAGCTGTAGTTGATGCAGCAGTCATTGTGAGTCTGGCAGTCATCCGAACAAGAGCACAGGAACCTGGTCAATCTCTTCTCACCGCATCTGAACTTGTTGCAGGTCCATGTGAATGCTAGAAGCCAACATTAAAGAAATACGTTTATAATTCAAATCTGACACATCCACAGAAGTATCAAAATCTTGGACAGGAGGCTGAGGGTCAAAAACATATTTTATAACTGAGTCCCGAGATTCCACCTCCCCTAAGCCAGTCTGAACTAACAGCTGGCAAACATGCAGGCAGCCAACATTATTATTTCACTAGAAACCTGGGATTTCATTGTTTTTAAACTGGGACACATTTCCGTTATTGTACAAACATAAGAAAACCTTGGCTGGCCCCACAAGTGAGAGTCAGGGTTCTCAAAGTTTAATATAAAAGCATGCATGGCAATAAACAACTATAACCTGACCAGTATTCCCCCCAGAAGCATATGCAGGAGAATGCTAAATTGGAGGCAAGCCAAGGTGTGTGTGTGCGTGTGTGTGTGTGTGTGTGTGTGTGTGTGTGTGTGTGTGTGTGTGTGCGCGCGCGTATGTGCATTTGATCCCTTCCTTATCTGAATCTTATCTCAATTTCTTCTGTTTTGGTGGGTTTATTTTTAAAATGTTCAGTAATTCACTGAATATTATGGGAATATTCTTCTTGTAATAGGTCCCTAATGAAAACATTCACACATTTTAAGAATCCTTTTAGGACTTAGTTTAAATGTAAATTAAGGCACAGAGGTTTTAGCATCCATGAAAAACAGACACAATTCTGTTAGCCATAAAACATTTAATAAAGATGAATTAAGCAAATATTTTCCCTATACAGTAGAAAACACATAGATTCTAATTTAGAAGAAACAAAAAACAAAAAACAAAAGATGCTGAGCATGATGGAGTAAGTCTTTGAGCTTACTCAAAGGCAGGTGGATCTCTGTGAGTCCATGCCAGCCAGAACTAATTAGTGAGACCTTGTCTCAAAAACTAGGTGATAAATAAATAGATAGACAGACAGACAAATAGAATAAATTTACATCTAGAAAAAACATTGAGTTAGTCAAATCACAGACCTGGAAGATACACAAATTCCCTGTGGTCTTTTCCTGGTGCCTGTGACCCTCCCCACCCCCACCGCCACACTTACTTGGCTCCACACAGGTCTCCTGGAAATCCAGACAGCAGTTCCCAAGGCTGATACAGGAACTGTCACAACGACAGTTGCCGAATGTCCTCTCATAGCAGCGGCCTTTGCAGCTTTTTACTGAAAATTATGAATCAGTTAGGGGCTGCCAATCCCAAAATTCCAAAGCATGCACCAGCTAAGTCACCCCTGAGTCAAGATGCCATCGTGGAGAGTAACCCACTCCTGCTGCTTAGAAACCAGGCAATCTCACAAGGAGAAACAATGATTTCTCTAGCACGGTCTGAAGAAAGGAGGTGAAATGACTCTACTTCATGTGTGGCTACATAGGTGAACACAAAAGCCTAAGTTTTCGCTTATCTAAGGTGTCCTAGGCCAGGAAAATTGGCGTGTTTCAACCAATCAATAAACATTTTAGAAGAGCAACAGTACAATAACAGGGTAGTTGAACAGGTCACAAATGTATTCAATTCTGAAAAGTGAATCACCAAACAAACTATGTGGGGTAAAGGAAGAGACACTTCAGAATCAGAAAAATGACCACTGAAATTGCATGTGGTTCACTTCCTTTATCTATATGCTGATTTTTTCATGCTGAGTAGACCCTGATCTTGACACCGGGAAAATTCAACTAGAAGTGTGATGGTTTCATTTCTATTTTGAAACTAGTCATGGCAAAGAAATCTAAAGCCTCTGAGAATCTGGTAACCCAGAATGTTAACTTGTCTCCTAGTAACCTCTCCTTTAGCAACCAACTCCTTGGAGCTTAGGGCACAGCATCCCAGTAATCCTCAGAAAGCTAGAGAGAGAGGACCACAGGCATCATACAGAAGCCTCTGGTCGTGCCCTCACGGTTTTGTGTGTTTATTTGTTTTCTTGGTTGTTGGGGGGTTGGTTATTTTGGTCATAGGCCTTATTCTACATTTTAATATAAGATTTTATAGCCAAAATACATTTTATGGCTAAAATAAGATAGGACTTCAGGAAACGATTTTAAACCAGCACCAAATTTATTAAATTCTCAATGTCTGTGGAGTATACACAGGACTTGGAGATTACAGTGGTCTCAATTACACTGTAATGCTGAATAGACACACATACAACACACACATATACACACAGACCACACAAATGCAAGTGTACACATATTGACACACAGACATACATATATACATACACATGCATGTACATATACACCCAGATGTAAGTGTACACACATGCACACAAGAGATACACACAGTTGTGCACGTGCACATGCACGCGCACACACACATAAAAAGCATAGAGACACACAGATATACCGTACTCTACAGTATTAATTACCTTCTTTAGAACAGCTTGGTTTCAACCCAAATATACAACCGAGAATTATTGTTAGCACACATACTGACAAAACCTGTAAGGAGAGAAAAAGACTATTAGATTCTTCCCAAATCTTTCCATTTCCCCTAAGTTCATTCTTCTTAGTAATTATGACTTTGCTAGTGAAGGTATTCCCAGATGTGGCAGCTGGTCACAGGGACAGGTTCACTTTTTGAACATTTCAAACCATATATTTGTCATTTATATATGCTATTCAGAGAGTGTGACAAATGTCGGTGACAAACTTACTTAGATGTCAGCAAATTTCTGAATCGTCCAAAGTTAATGTAATGAGGAAAACACTTGGCTACACAAAGAAATTATCCAGAAAAAAAAATGGTTACCTTTAAAGAGGAAAATCTATTAAGATATGCAACTCCCTCCTGAAGTCTACAGACGTTCTAGACCTCTCTTAGTTATTCCCTAGCAAAACTAAAGTGAACACAGCACCTTCAGATGTATTGTAGGTCATGGGATGACCACAGAAGGGAAGAGGACCATATTCCAGACCTGAACATTGCTGTGAGCTGGCTCTATGAGCTGAGGTGGTGGCTTAAGAGCTCTGAGCACCTGCTTATTCATCTATGAAGCTAGACAGCTGAGCTACACCAATCTCTCATTGTCCTTCCAGTGTTAATATTTTCCCACCTTCTCCCTCCCCATGATTCTCACCTTTAACATTTAAAAGTAAGTAGACAGAGCTTGCATCGTCCAAGGCCAATGAAACTTTTGAGAGGCAGAAGATAAATCAGAAAAAAAATCCACAAAACAATCCTTTTGGTTTATTTATTTATTTATTGTTTTACAGCTGGCATTTTCTTCAAAGCACCCTGGAATATCAGTTTACAGGGCATTCAGCAAAACATTCACCGAGAATATATCATTGTGTTCTCTCATCCAGGACATACGACATCTTTGCATGTGTCCATGTGGTATATTCTAACTGTCAGCTATAAGAGTAGTCATGGGCTTGCAGACTTCCTGGCATAGTACTGTAGTGCTTACATTCAAGGAACCCTTGGCAGCAGCCTAACACCACATCCCAGTGCCTGGACCACTCACCTCACGGTATCATCACAAGAAAGGAGAGTGTAGTTCAATTAGATATTTTGAGAAAGATCACATAACTTTAAGACATTATATTGTCATGACTGTTTTATTATTATTTTGATGTTATTTTATCAGTTTTGATATAAATATGTGTCTATTTTTAAAATTAGACTTTAATAGTTGGATAGAAAAAATATTATATATGCATACATACATACATGCATACATACACACGTATATATGAGAAGAGACAGAGAGACCAGAACTACCCTCAGTGTTAGATATCCACTGAGGGTCTTGTATATATTTTGTACAAAGGGGAACTATTACCATGTCCATAAAAATGGGGAATTGTCATATGAAGATATGAATAGAAAGTAAATAAGGACAAATGGACAAGATGAGGCATCAGAAATGAGGACTAACAGAATTCTCTGGAATTCCTAATGGGTATATAAACGTGATTGTACAGAAAGGCAATAAGTATATATCTATTCAAAACATCAACATTTCTTTTGCTATGAACTATCCATATAAATACAGAAGCTAATAGAACTATTCCATTTTTCATACACTGTCATTTCAAACTTTAAAACAATGGAAAGTGGAACTTTGTTTTGTAGGATCTAGCTATAACAGTTTGAACAGTACTTATACACTTACTTCCCTCTCACGTATCACATAACTTAAAAAATTCAGGTCCTTTCTGTGCTATGAAGAGTGATTTTCCTTTTAAAGTTCGGGTTGCAATCCTATTGTAACCTTTGCACTTCACGAGTTTACTGTCACTTCCCCTAGGAAATCCCCATGCTACTGCCAAAGCCACTCTCCTCATGTATGTCCATAAAGCAGCCTTCACTGCATTCCTCTGGCTTTCTATCTGCAGCCACTAAACTGCTAACATCAATATTCCCATAGTATGCCACATCTGCCAAATCTCCACTTATAATTTGTTTGAATTTCAATTTCAGCATCATCACTTTTCTGTTTATCTCTGCACATCACTCTTTTTGTCCATCAACTGCCTCTTCAGTCATCCACTGTTATAAAATGTCATGTCGGCACAACACTGACTGGCAGGGTAGCAGTACAAACACATGTTGCTGTCTGTGTACAACAACTGACTAAGAGGTGCCTGTCCAGCAATCATTGACAGACTCTGAAATCCATGATAGGACTGCCTAGTACTGATATACACCTGTTATTCACACAGTGATCTATGCACCGCTGAGATGGCAACGAAGTTTGGATTTCATGCAATTGGTCAGGGTTAATAGACCTAAAAGTCTAACCATGATGTTAAAAAGCTGTGTCATTTAATTAAACAGTGGCAAGGGAAATTGTACATATCAGAGAACCAGGATAAGCAGCACAACCTATACAAACTGACATGCAGGCAACCACTGTCTAAGCTTCAAAACTGAACTCAACAAACAAAATGCAGAAACTGGTTTGCAAAAGTCATGTTTTGTTTTCCTCTCTACTAGGGAAGCATCTTGGGGAGTTAGCCTTAGAAACAAACATGGCAGAAGACCGAGCTAAATAAGCAAAGGCAAAACACTCACACATACACAAGAGCCTGGGGCAATAAGAATGTGGAAGGGAATCAGCTAAAGTCTTGCCTGAGCAAGAAGCATCATTGGTCATGAGGAAGTCACAGCAGGACTCTGATGTCCTGGAAGGGATGCGTGGATACAGTCCATGCCATGGGAAAGGGTGTCAGTAAATGCAGAGATGATGACGACTAAATGATCAGGGACAAAGAGGGAGAGACCCAGGGTTCTGGCAACCCAGCTTGACCTATCTAGATTACAATGGACCTAAATGGTATGAGGGTCTAGGAAGTGGGTGGGAAATATGGATGAACACTTGGCACAGCCTAGGAATGAGAACCAGAGAATCAACAAAGTAGAGTCATGTGGGTGGAATAGCTAAATAGGACCAAGTAGACATGGGTATGTGTGTGGGAGAAAGGGAAGGAAAAGAACGGGATGGAGAGAGTTGATAGCCAGCAAGCATTTAAACTATGCCCTTTTAACCGTGTAAGGAGTGACTATGGTACGCGCAGCTCCCCATCCTCTTGCTAATTAGCAGAAGGCACATGCTTTGGTTCTTATAACTTCTTCTTCACTGTCAAAAATGAAGTTGCTTGCATTTCTATTTTATAACATAATGTGTAGCACACAATTAAAGCATAACAACAAAATAAACATTCTTCGTGTATCCTTTTAGCCACAAGAAAGAAAAGAAGAAAGAAAGGAAGGAAGGAAGGAAGGAAGAAACAAACTGGCAGTATCTATTATTATAACATGCTCAATTGAGATCATTTTAGTGGGAAATTTCCCCTGGACATTTCAGAACTGTGAATTCTGATCAGTCTGGCTTTTCTTCTCAAAGTAGTTTAATCCGATGTCAAAGTCCACCAAGCATTTACTTTAAATAATTTTTATCATGTGTATGAAGTGTATCACCTGCATGTATGAATGTGCACCACATGCATGCCTGGTGCTCACAGAGGCCAGAGAGAACACCAGACCCTTGGAACTAGAGTTCCTTATGGCTGGGGACACCATGTGGGTGTTGGGGACTGAACCCAAGTCCTCTCGAAGACAAATATGAATTCATAACAACTGAGCCACCTCTCCAGACCTTCACCAAGCTTCATTTATCTCTGAAACAATTTGGACACTTTTATATTTTGACATTTGCTTGAAAAATGTAGAAAAATAAAATAAACTTATCCTGGAAAGCTGAGACATGTGAAGCAAAAGCAACGCTGTTGAAATGTTTTGCCTGTATGTTAAGGATATCTGTTTTTTAGATTCCTGCTTGTTTAGTTAGGGCCCTTAACTAAATCATTAGTTTTTCTTTGACATTAAGTGAGACAGAAGACATGGGCATTTTCCAAACCTCATTTTTCTCACACTATATTATTTTATATTACATTCATCTATTATTTGCGGTGTGTGTGTGCATGTGTGCATGTGTGCATGTGTGTACATGTCAGAACTTGTCAGATCAGTCCTTAACTTCTACATTTGGGTCTTTAGAACCAACCTCAGGTCATTAAGCTAGGCAGCAAATGCCTGTACCTACTGAGCCATCCTATCAGCCCCACATTAGCATATTTTAATTTGCATTGCTAGTGACTGCCCAAATGTATGCATTCCCTGCACTGATGGCCAGAGAGGCCATGAAAGCAACTCTGAACTATGAAGAAATAAAATGTGGGGCAGCGGACATTAAAATAAATTAATGCAACAGAATTTGACAAGAGCTACGGTAGAAAAATACAAAATCTGCTGACATGCTAGCAGCACTATGGAGATTCAAAAAGAAGAGCTAACAAAAGGCTACACAAAGATTTCCTTCTCTGTCAATAAACAAATGTTCAACTGTCTTCCGTGTGTGATGAAATTAGGTCTAGTGAAGAGGAAAAACAAACAAACAAAAAGAAGACATTGTACTGAAGTCCCTATCTCAGAGCATATGGTCTAGTGAGAACATCTCTGAAATGTAGCCTTACATCAATGAGAAAGATGTGAACTGGCAAGAAGCAACCTGACAGTTAACCAATATAATCACAATGCATGCTGCAGTGTTTCCCGCAGTTCTGTGAAGGTATAGAAGGGAACATGAAATCTGATAAATTAACCACAATAATGTCTGTCAGGATCATGGACTTAATTGCAAAAGTGGCAAGACCAAAACCAAGTCAGTATTGGGCACAGGGGTTATAGAAGAAGCCTGGAAGGTGAAAAAATCCTGAAGCCTTTAACTGTGGAAGTAACATAGAAAGACTCTTCTAGAAACTTCCAGAAAGATTTTCTGGCAGCATCCTGGGAGGTTGCAGTATGAGTTCACATGGTAGACTAGATCTTGGCTTGGCTACTTCCTTTGGAAGCAAGCTGCTCTTTACTCCTCTGGATCAGAGTCTCCCCTCTTAGGTTACAGCAGCCCAGACCACAGACATGACTTTGTTTA